GTTGACTCCTGGCGACTACCTGGACAAGTCCCTGCAGTTTTCTTGGCAAGATTTCAGAAGTAGTTTGCCATTGCCTGGTTCCTAGGGCTGAGAGAGAGTGACTGGCCCAAGGTCACTCAGCTGGCTTTGTGCCTAAGGTGGGCCTAGAACTCCTAGTCTCCTGGTTTCTAGCTGATGTCTTAACCACTACACCAAACTGGTTCTCACTGAGGCATATCTACTCGGAAGTAATTTCTGCTCCTCAGAAATTTAGAGATAGGAGTCCATCAATTATACCGGTTTCAGGATGCCTAATCTGAGCTTGTACCAATATGTTTTAGAAAAATATGTACTCTGTTATTGAACAAGGCATAGTTCTCATTAGGTATTTTATGGTCTTAAAGCTGAAACAAATTGCAGGTAGGCCTTAGCAACTATAGGTGCAGGTTCAGACCTTTACATATCAGAGGAGCTTCAAACAATCACCATACAGGGGGAAATGGTGGCAAGCCATAATACAGTAGGTTCTGCAGCTGTCAACGAGAGCAACCATTTTAAGCTATTCATTTTATCCCAAAGTGATGAGAGATGCAAGAGAGCTCAGGTTGATGGATGAAAGGGTGCATCAGGATTTGAAAAGGGTAGGATTGTACTTAGCAGTAATTCTTTTCCCTGAAATACCTTTGCCAATTTAAACACTGGGCAAGAGAAAGAGTTCTGCTTATTTTGTAAGCTTGCGCTGAGAACATTGACTGAATCTTTATAAAATTACCCTCTTATCTCACCCTGCAAGATGAGGAAGGCTGGATGGACCTATCTTTTTGAACTGCCTATAATGAAATGGATCTAAAAGGTTACACAATGACGCCATCTACTGTTTGTAAATTTCCTCTTGTAAATTCCCTCTTCCCAATAGATTGCTAACGGCATTTAAAAGATGTAGTTGTTTGCTACCGTTTCAGGAATTAAAAAGAACCACCACCACCAACAAGGATATTACTACCATCACCTCTTTTCTGAGGTTTCATTTATACTATTAATGAATCATATTTACTCAGCATTTTATAGGTTTTTTGTTTGTTTTGCTCCTGGGAAAATCTCTTTAACAGATAAGCAGCAGCTTTATCTGTTAGAAGACTAGGTACAGTATAAGGATGGGAATGAAATTAAACATGGAAGCTCTACTTTTTCATTCCCTATCAATCTATCATCTATTCATCTATCATCCATCCATCCATCCATCCATCCATCCATCCATCCATCCATCGTCTATTTCACAATGGATCCCAACTGAACTTGAAACATGCATTATTTTTCTGATGGACTGACACCATGCCCTTCCACAGGCAGATCTGTTCCACTGAAAAATCAATAATCTGTAGCAAAAATGCCCTTTATAATTGGAAACAACTCTCAGAATGATCACATCACTTGACTTTCCACTGCAGCTATTTCCATACAGCACAAGTTTTTGGGGACTACAATCCTCTAGATCAGATGCATCTTACGAAGTGAACTATGAATCCAAAAAATAATCTGTTAATCTACTGACTCATTATTGTTTTTGCTAATAATCAGCTATTAATACTTTTTTGCTACACGTACCCCTCTGAAAACTGAAGGTTACATTTAATTAAATTACAGTTACCTTTAAATAAGAAGTGCAAACACACTATAGATAGGCATCACAAGTAGCCCTGGTTGCACTTCTAAGAAGTGAACTTACTTTTGCCTACGCCTAGGTCTCAATCTACAAAGGACTGAAATTTTAAAAGTGAGATTTCTTTACCAATGACACCCACCTACATTCAAAGTTGAGCGAGCAGCTTTCATCAAGAATCGGTCTAGTTTATAATATGCATTATAAACTTCCATCGAATGAACTCGGTCTTTAGCTTGACTATTAAGATCTTCATAACTCCTGCTTTCATTGCCATACAGTGTCAGGAATCCAGCTCTGCAGAGTTGGGAAGGGAAGGGATTAAAACAGTTGTTTAAAAATTTCATTTTACAATATATTATAAATATCACGGTTCTTATGAATAGATAAAGCAAATCCCTTGACATCCTATACCATTTGTTTTGTATACAGATGGTATAATTTCTCCTTCTATTATAAACCTTTCATCCTCTGTTCTTTGTTTCTCCAGTTTGGCATCCTTCAAATGTGTTGGGACTACAACACAATGCTGAACAACCTCTTCTACTGAAAACATAACCAGCCACTCTATCAACCAGGTGAAAGTCCCTCTTTCTTCTCTCTCAATTCCAGTACCAGTTCCTTGATGCTAGAGGAAGGGTTTCTGACCATAGAGGAGGGTTTCTTATCCTGATATTATTTGGCTCACTTAATGAAAAGGGTTGTTAAATTGGAATCTTGGACTGGGTTCACTTCTGAACTGTGCATTAAAGAAAGCACTTCCTCTTGCGAAAGAAACAATGCCATGCTTATTTGTCAACATTCCTTCCCTTGAAAGCTATTCTCTATGGCTAAGAGACTTCAAACAGTAGGAGACACAGCATGGTTGAACAATGGTACCCTAAGAATGTACATCAGTGATTTCACATCAGGCTGAAAGGTATCAACTGGCATACCATAGGTCTCCATTCTTGGCCCTGTGTTGTTCAATACATTTATAAAAGACTTGATCAAGGCTTAGAAAATATTATCAAATCTGCAGATTACACAAATATATGGATAGCAAAGTCTTTGGAGGAAGTGTCAGGATTCAAGATGAATTTCAGCACAGACAAATGTATCCAGTACTGGGCACTACATTTTAGGAAGGGCATTGACGAACTGGAGCATGCCCAGAGGAAGGCAACCAAATGATAAGGAACCCAGAAACTAAGAAGGAATGGTTGAAGATGTTGGATCTATTTAGCTGACTTCAGGAAGACATGATAGCACTTTTCAAGTATCTGAAGAGTTACCAGGCAGAATGGTCCAGAGCTGTTTCAGAAGAGAAGACAAGAATAGTAGATTTAAATTACAAAGAAGTAGCTCTCACCTGGAGAGCAGAGAGGATTTCCTAACGATAAAAGATGTTCAACAATGGAATAGAGTGTCTCAAGAGGTAGGGGGCTCTCCTTGCCCAGAGATCTTAAAGACTCGCTGGAGGCCATCTGTGGGGGATGCTGTAATCATGAATTCCTGTACTGGCTGGAGGATTGCATTAGATGTCTCCAAGGTCCCTTCCAGTCCTTATATGGACTGGAAGACATTGTACTTTGGAAGCCATTCAGGGAATTCATCAGAAAAAAAGAGGAGACAATTTTCTCCCATTCTAAAGGCCACAGCTGGGTACAAATCTGAGTAGTTAACAGTGAAATCTACCATCAGTTTTGGACAAGAGGCTGGATTGTATATGGAACGTGCATTTTACACTCTGAAATGTGGTCATGGCTGTTCTTTGGTCCCCCACAGGCCTACAATGTTCACCTGATATTTGAACATTGCTTTTTCATGAAAACATTTCCTGCGCATATTGCATCATGTTTGTTCGTGTGTGGCAATTCAACAAGCACTTTTATCAACACTCTGCAGCTTGGTAGCTCCATTGTGTGAGACCAGATTGTTGAATGATTTAATATCAGAAAGAGGACTCAGTTTCTATTTCTTTGTATAATCAAAAGGTGCAGAACCTATTCCAGATACCAGGGGAGCAAAATGAGCTCAGTGGGACCACTTACCTTGTTCTGCTTTCATGACAGCTTCTTTGTTTTACACTTTGACCACGTACAGTCATTGAGAGAGCAAGCAAAGCAAGTGGGAGCTGTGCCACCTTTCTCTTCCTCCTGTCACTACTCAATTGTTTAACTGAGAGAGGAGAACAGGTAGTGGAACCAAGGGAAAGGAAAAGAAAAGAAGAGCAAGGGGGTTAAGAAGTTGGCTTTAGGTCCCCTGTTGGAGGCCCTGTCACCCCTTCATATTAAACCCAAGCAGACCTCCTTGAAGCCTTGTTTAGGACTTAGAAATGCCATACCCACCTGAACATCGTGCTGTAGGAGAGCTGAAACAGGTCTTCCTCTTTCCACTGCCCACTGGCTCTACTGGGGCTAGGAAGCAGAATGGTTTGCAAGTTAAGGCACATGGCCTTAGTCAGGCTGGAAAGATTCTTGTCCTTCAGAGTCCTGTAGAAGCAAAACACAAGAATACTTTGTGAAACTCCTTCCTGCCTCCCACTTAGATTCCCTGAACTGAGAATTCTTAAATAATGCTTAGAAACTTAGCTAGGAGTCATTGTGAGTTTCTGATAGTCTGCCTCACAAAATCCTTGCTTTCGTGGAAAAAGAGAACATTCATGCCTTATACAGAAATGCACAACAAACATTGCACTAGAATTCAATACATATTTACTCAGACATAAGGCCCACTGACTTCAATGGGACTAATTCCCAGGTATGCTTAGGATTGCAGTTTAAAATAATTTATTCAATGGGGATTTATCAGGGGTTTCAGCTGATGGCCCATAGGCTGCATTCAGCCCTCCAAGTAGTTTTCTGCAGCCCACAATATTTTGTAAGCACTGATTATGCTGCCCAGCAAGAACATCGAGTGCTGCAAAACCATCCAGGCAGGGCCATGGGAAATGCTCCAGGAAGAAGAACCTAGGAGTCCCAGATAGGGTCGTGAAAGCAATCTTCCCAAAAGAGGCTGACCCACATAAGCAAACTTCAATACAGGATGGGTGGTAGAAGCAAATGGAGTCAGCTGACACTCCTTGTCCTCCCCTGGGAAAGTTAAGTAAGAAAAGGAGCTCTTTGGGAAAGTTCCACATACAATGTAGAATGCTTCATTTGCAAATGAAAAGAGTATGTTTGGGAAAGTTGTGTATAAAATCAACATAACCACAAAATAACATAGGGTTGGTTGATCTAAATAAAATGTACTTTTGGGTAGATAAATATTCCAAGCATAAGTTTCAGACCACCTTGCAAATGTACATAAAAATGTACAAGACTGGATATATTGAGGAAGCTGCAATTTCTTTCGATCTTTTTTTTAAAAAAGGATTCACTAAAAAAAAATGACAAAAAGGAATAACTGATGAACACAATAACACAACATGGACTAGATTTATACCAGTCCTTAATTCTAGGCATCATTTGTGGGTCTTCTCAAGTACTGGAGGCCCTTGTAATTGCCAAGTGCTGATACTAATTCTGGTTGCATATCAGAGATGGCAAAAACACTGCTGCGCATGGGAACACAATTATGGGGGACCTCTGACATAAGGTGCTCACAGTGGCCATTCCTGCAGATAAGATTTCTAGAGAAAATCTTGCCTTGAATTTCATTTCATCCTCACAGCAGCTTTATGAAGGAGGTCACATTGTGAAAGGAGGAACGGCAGTGCCCCTGAGAGTTCATTGCTAAAATGGGTCTTCACTGTACTTTGGGGATAGCATATTGGCTTAGTGAACCAAAAATGCATCAGCTGCTCCCTCTAATACTCCAGAAATATCCCAAGGGACCAGTTACAGTGGTTTTTCTGCAGTCTTTCACAAGGAACATGCATGGGAAAGTCATGCACCCTGACATTAATTCACTTGGACTTGCATGCTAACATCCTTAGTGACACACAATTCTGAGATCCTTCCAATAAGAAAACTCCTACAAACTATTATCAGAAGAGGCCAGATGCCACAAAAGTCTTTTTCACACGCATACACAAGCCCATAGTAGTAAGTGACTTTCTCATCAGGAAATCCCTGGTTCATATCTCACCTCTGCCACGTACTCACAGGGTCACCTAAGCCCAGCCACTCTTTTCCAGTCCCAGTCCTCTCCTTTCTATTGGCAATCCAGAGTCAGTAGGCCCCTACCTAACAGAATTCCTTACAGAAAGACAGACTGTTGGCTTGTAAAAGGGCTTTTACAACAGGCTTGTTCTCTCTGGATTTATTAGTTTGTTTCTTTCTTTATTAAATATGTACCCTTCTACAATCAAACAGCTCTTGGTGTTATCTCACTCTGAGCTACTGAATGAACTCACCAGGAACTTCATTTAGATGTTAAAGAGCAAGGGAAAGAGAACCAACCCCTGTGGCACTCCACATGACAGAGTGAAAAGGGTCCAGATGATCCATTTCATCTATGACACTGCGAAGCTGGTCCACTACCATTGTCTTACAACCTATCCTAGGAAGGGAAAGTTGGAGACTGAATGGTAGTTGTCCAAAACCCTGGATCCAGGGATGGTCTGTTCAGAAGGGGGTGCACCACAGCTTCCTTCAAGACTGCTGGGAACTCCCCCTCTCATGAAGAGGCATTGACAATCCGTCAGATCCAGGTGGTTACCTCTCCATCCATTCTTCACAACAGTGAGGATGGGCAGGGGTACAAAAGGCAAGTGGTAAATGACAAACTAATCAGCATCCTATCCACTTCCTTGGAGGTCACAGACCAAAGTAAGCCCAAGGTAACATCACAAGATAGTACCCCAGTCACCACAAGGGACTCTATCCAGAAGGAGTTGATGTTTTGGTGCATCTGAGTGACTTTATAGGTTAAGTGCTGTATAAATTCATTACAGCAGCCAGATGGAAGTTCTTCATTTAGTCCTGTCGTGAAAAGGGAGTCGGTTACTCTAAATAAGGCTGCTAGAACACAACAAGCTGATGCAGTAAGGGAGGAGAAATAAGCACACTTTGGCTTCCTTATCACCACTGAACATGGACACTTATCTACACTTGGTCACATTAGCGTCTTGTCTTCCTCCACCAGTGTTCCAGGCATCATTTCTGGTGCTTCATTTTCCAGAAGGTCTTGAAAAACCAAAGCACCAACTGAGATTGGCCACCAAAAAGAGATTGCTTGGTGGTAGTGCTGTCCAGTGTTCGAGATGCTTCTTGATGCCATTTGCATTCCATAAAGTGGACAGAACTGCCTGCCAGATTGCTGGGAAACTCCCCAAGTGCACATTGGAACAAACTGGACATATTAGGCATCTGAGGCAGACCATTTGAATGGGCCCACATCCTTCAGAGGTGATCCTGAAATATAACAGGATCAGGATGTGATCTGACTATGACAATCGGATAATGGAAACCTCCGCCTTCTCCAGATCACCAACCATTTGCTCAGAGACAAAAACAAGGTCCGAGGTGTGACCACTAACATGGGTCAGGTGAGACAAGCTGATAGAGGGCACAAACTCCTTAACCTTATTGGACCCAGCTCCCAGCCATGCAGATTGAAATCTCCATGCAGGATAGACTTTTAATTGAAAGGGCTTGATTATATTTGCTTGCTGCTGCTGGACATCTGGAATTGTACTTTTGGTAATGGCTATTTTTATGTAGTTTACATTTACAGGTAGTCCTCGACTTACAACCACAATAGGGACTGGAAAATTTGTTGTTAAGCAGTGTGGTCATTAAGTGAGGCATCATATGACCACACCCAATTTTATATTTTTGCAGCACTCATTAAGCGAATCACCATGGTCATTAAGTGAATCACACAGTTCCCCATTGATTTTGCTTGTCGTAAGCCAGCTGGGAAGGTCGCAAATAGAGATCTTGTGACCACAGGACACTGCAACCATCGTAAACATGCTGGTTGCTAAGCGCCTGAATTCTGATCATGTGACTGCAGAGATGCTGCGACAGTCATAACTGCAAGGACTTTTTTCAGTGCCATTGTAACTTCAAATGGTTGTTAAACAAATGGTTGTAAGTCGAGGAACATCTGTATGGTACTTTTATCATTCCTTTTTTATACGCCCCCCTGGAAATACAATTATCTTGAAAGACATCTAAGAAATATATTAATAAAGAAATCTTGTGCTCTATTCAAAGCATTTCAATAATGAAACTCTCTGATGATTCCAAATATTGTTCTGACAAACAACCAAGAGAGCCAAATTGAGAAGTAATAGCATTTTCTGTTCTTCCTGCTCATTTTCATAAAGTCCCATAGGAAAGCAGTGGAAGGGAATAGAGTTGGATGAATTTTACCAGTGTTCTAAATATTTGCCTCATCCCCTTTGGGGACTCTCCAAGGCCTGAGATTTCCAGCCCAGAAACAATAAGCTTAGAGGTCAGGAAAAAGGGAAATGGATCTCAATTTTTCCCTCTTCAAGGTTCAGAGTTTCCCTGAAATCTCATAAACCAAAAGATTATTTATATATTAAATATAACTATAAAATTGATCTATCTTAAAAGGTTGCACATGAACTATTCTGCTTGAAAATACAATATAAATGTTACATATTATCTATGGCTACACAGTGTTGATGTAGTTTAGAAGAGGTACTTCAGAATGCATGGGAGCATAAATGCAGCACCTGTTTGTGATTCATATAGCAAGTGCTCCTGAAGTAGCCACACAATCCTAGAAAAAGATGCATCTGCTTTCAAGAGACACAAATAAGTGCTGCATTCATGCTCCTGCATGTTCTGAAGCACCTCGTCTGAATAAAATCTGAAGCATTGCCCAGTCCTATTATTATCAGCATTTAAAGGTGATGTTCTTTTTAAGTTTACTCTCTCAAGATTTGTAAAGCTTTTGATTGGCAGGAAGAATGTAATGTAACTGAAGAATTACTTATATCATTGCTTATCAGACTTTTATTAACAAAGCTGGAGAAACAAAGCTGGTCTATGCATTACAACAGGTCATCACACGTTGCAAAAAGAGAGTGCTTAGCATTATAGATGAGCACTTGAATCCCAGCCTTTTCAATATTTAAAAGAAGATGCTACTACATATGCTGGAGTCCCTGAACTGAGTATTCAGAAGACTTAGTCCACAGAATGTATCATGGTTTTCTTGATGCATGCATGCCCACTATAAAATTTACACTTACATTCTCAGCATGGTCTTTTCCTCATTAGAATCATAATCAGGGAGCTTCACATCAAACATCCGTTTCATTAAAATGCGTGCATATTGGCCAAAGTCCAGCTTGGTGTATGATTCCCAAAGCACCACATCGTAGGAATGTGGATCCAATAAGACAGTTACAAATTTTCCTGCAACTTGAACCTTAAACAAATAAATACATCACAAAGTATCAATCTAGGGCATTAATTAAAAGAAAGCAATGAATTTTGAAAAATAATTTTAGAAAGAGACATTTCATCATACCCTGCTTCCAACTCTAATCCCTAGGAATCTAATGATTCCTATTAAATGGAAGACTGAATTGAGATCTTACGGTTTATTCAAAGACTCATAGAATTTTTTGGTAGACTCCAAATCCAATATTCTGCTCAATGAAAATCCAGATCTTGCTTCAAGGATGGAGAACTTGTGGCTCTATGGAGCCATAACAACTTTTGGAGGATGTACAGTACTAAATAGATTGAAAAAGCCCTGGTTGGAAGGAATTGATAAGCCCCTCAAAAGGAAAGAGAGAAGAAGTTTTAAGAGCAACATATGAAGCAGTGTGTACTGTAGATGTGGTGAAAGCAGGAATGGTTTGCAAGGATGGAAGAGTATAGTGAATGGTGTTAACATGAAAGTTTCAGCCATATTTTCTTTTCTTATATCATGCCCTGAATGTATTTGGCTTACTATTTCTCATATCCTTTCTGCACGCTGTATAATGCTGCTTATACCAAAAGGAATAGGGTGATGGGAATGTATATAGAGGCTATATGTGCTAATTTAAAAGCAGAGATGTAAAGCTAGAAATAATTACTACAATTTAAATCGAAATTTATCAAAATTTACCATAATGAGAGAAGCCATGTGACAAGATGCCCAGTATATCATCTTTGTTGTCTAGCTCTTAATTTTTGGCAGGCATGTTGAAAGTTGTTGCTGTTCTCCCTCCTGAAGACTGGTTCTCTTTCAACTGGAATTGGACTGGGCTCCCCCTACAGATGGAGGGCCATCAAAAAAGGAGCAAAATCCTTCAAACAGAACAGCGTGTGCTCCATAAAACTAGGGGGAATGGCCATTTTTCAAAAAGTGGGAAGCGTTTAAATGAGGTAAATTTGGGATTATGATTTCCCCACGAGGACTCTTCCCCCAACATGGAATGGTAGCTGGATGGTGGGGATTATTACTACAGCAAAATAAAATAAAATACTCAAACTCAAACTCAGCTCATGTTCCAAATTTAGCCAATTTGTGCATGTTTATGCATATGACTAACTGCACAATTTCTGTATCCCTAGTAAAAACATTTAACTAACATTTTTGGCACCATATATCGTTCTAGCTCAAGGATTAATTTTGATTCCTAGCATTGCTGAGGAATGCAGACAGGGTCACATATCACCCACCTCAGTTTTAATTGATTTTCCTTTTGCTCTGGTTTTAAGAAATGAACAGAAGGTTCATACCTTAGAATTCAAGAGGCAATGACTGAGATTTATTAAAAAAAAACAAATGGCTACATTCCACAGGTTCTCCTTTCTCCTGTTTTATTTGAATCTTTGTCTATTTAAAATATATATTCAGAACTTTTGAGGAACACTGATAGCTAACACAAGTATTACAATATTCTGAAGAACCCCAGCAAAAATCCCAAGTGCTCCATTCCACAATTTTAATCAACAATAGCCAATAAAATGTCAATTACCACCATTTTAAAAATAAGGTTTTATATTTGTTCTGAATACCAACTAGTCAGAGGGTTGGACTAGGAATGGAAGTTGCAGATCCCCAAACTATAGCCTTCAGTGGGTAGCCCTGGACCAATCCTGCCTGGAAGCATATAGTTATGCACATATCATGATGCCATGAATCAAGGCTTTTTGTTTCAGGCATATGACACATAGTTTTTCAGGCTCCAGGGTCTGTCTGTGTGTGTGGGGGGGGGGAGGGGTGTGAGTATACGTGTATGTATGCATATGTATATGTGTGCATGTATATTTATATTTATATTTATGCCTTGCCTTGCCTTGCCTTGCCTTGCCTTGCCTTGCTTACATGGTCCCAAATGTGTGTGATTCCCTGATCTCTTTTTCCAAAAACACTAGTGGGCATCTCCAGAAAGAAGGCAAGGAAGACAAGGGACAAAACATGGCTTCTGATGCAAATTCTGCTCTTTAACCTTGCATGCAGATACAAAAGGGGTGGGGTTTGCACAGTGACATCATGCTGCATGCTTCATCCTTCTGATATCATCGCGAGCACCTCCTTTTTTTCAAATGCATATGGGAATAGGTTGGGTATATTTTGCTGTTGCTTCTAAAGACTGTTTAAAACTGTATTCTCTTCCATTGGAATTGTATTCTCAATTTTTGGTAAACCACCTTGGAATTTTTAAAAAATTTTGCCAGGACAGTCTAGAAATTATGCAAATGCATAAATAAATGGGCCATTTTAAGGAACTCTTCTTCTCTTTGAAAGCTTTCCCTTCCTGGTTTTGTATGCCATTAAATAAGAGTGTTTGATTCTCTAAAACCAATGGAGGTGACATAGATCACCATCCTTAGCTGGTGCCTTTGTGTAAAACTGAAGCTGCTCTGTGAACTGTAAAGGGAAGATCACGTCAAAACGACTTTCCTTTTGTACAGACCTCCTCTCTCAGTGAAGAGGAGCAGATCATCATCTAGAGATGGCCCCTGATTTTTACAATGTAACAGGACAGGGTGCAGTTGTCCTTTTTTGTCCTTGGGCAAATCCCTTGGTTTACCTTACCCTCTTCACCATTTGGGGGCAAAATGACAACTTCGTTAGTTATACCAGGAAGCTGACACAGCAGCATTGGATTCCCATAAAATGCTAGCAGATCCTTCAGTCCAAAGGCCGATACATCAATAAGTATTTGGAGCAAAATGGGACTGACGGTTACCAAAGCGTTGTGGGAGAACAGTAGATTTGGGAACTTTACAGCTTTGCGTTGGCTTCACCTGATTACCTAATTTATAAGGGTAAGCAAATGCTAAACATATTTCCTCTCCCAATTTGCTAATAATTCCCTTCCCTGACCAATGGCTATGGTAGTACAGACACTTGACCCACCTTAACACATCCAGATAGATGGGAACAATGCTAGCAGTGACACGACTATGCTGTCTTTTCCTCCTTACAGATTTTCAGTGGAAAAGAAGATGGAAGCAGCAGTGGGAAAACAGGTGGCTTGCAGCTGAAAAGTGGCATCATCCAGATGCTCTGCAAAATTTCATCAATGAAGCAGTGCACCTTTATTTATTTAAATTATTTATTTATTAGATTTATATCCTACCTTCCTACTTACATAAGAATTCCAAGCAGCTTACAAGATTTTCAAGGTAGCATACACCAAAAGCCTATTAACACTTTGATACCCTAAGCTTTGATACCTTGAAGAAGGTAAGTCCTATAAATACTCACCGTGAAAATATCACCATGCTTCTTTCTCATATCAGACAGGAATGTGGCAGCATCTTTACCAAATTCCAGTGCATGCCCAAGCCAAGGAATGTGACCTTTATCAAGTGGAGGTTCATCAGGCCGTCTGGAAACGATATCAAGATATATAAACAATTAACCATATTACTGTTTAATCATTCCCAAGTGTTTCATAAAATATTTTATCTTGCATTCTTAGCTGAAGCTAAATAATATAAAATAAGGAAGCCACACTGTGACAGCTCTAATCCTAATGAAAAGGGAGATTGTGGCATTTGAGTTTTAATGGCCTGGCATGGCTGCTCTTCTGCTGGCATGAGCCATCCAATGGAATGGGTAGAAGGGGAAAAGAAGCTCAGCTTTGGCCCTGAAGGGCAGCTGTGCTGTCACAAGGCCTGATGAGCTGACTTGGCTACTGGCCAGGGCTGTTGTGGGGATATGTCAAGACAGCAGTCCCATTGATCTAGCCTAGTAATAAGGTGTTGGGGACTAGAGCCCTGGGAGGACACCCACCTCCTCAATTGCTAGGGGACATGCTGCCATCTAACCTAAAAATTGGAGAGAAAGAAGGAGAGGAGAGAAGGAAAGAAGAAGAGAGAAAAGGTCTGTGCACGGAGGGAATGGAGTGGCTGGAAAGAAAGTGTGCGTAACAGTTGTTAGTTCCCCGCCAGAAGGGAGAAAAAAGGTCCAGGGGAAGTGAGGACCCAGATGCATGAGAGCTCCACCCAAGGCAAAGAATGGGAAGGAGGGATCCAGCTGGCTGCAAGCAGTGGCTTCACCAAAGACCCAAGAGGGGAAGATGTCAGTGGAGAAGCCCTGATATCAGGGAAGGACTGGGCAGAAGACCCTACAAGAGGTTCTTCTCCCAACAGAGAAGCAGTAAGTGTTTGGCTGAGTGGTTTCAGGAGGAGGTCAAGCCACAATGAGCACACTACAGTAAATTCCAGCCCACTCCTTTCTTTTCACTTTCTCTCCTGTAAAGCCCAGAAACAGAGAAAGGAAACAGGGAGAAAGGAGGAGGAAGCAGGAGAAGTAGATGGGGATAGTCTCTGGGAGGGAGACTTAGGGGGAAACCTGACACTGGGTGAACACCAGGATTGTGCTGTATATATCGTTGTAGATACCTGCTATAAATAACGTCACTGTATATAGTAAAAAGCATGAAAGTCTCCACTGCCTTGTTTTTTTGTGTCAATTGCCACTCTTGCAAAATAACTGCTGTGACAGAGATATTTGTAACAAGAGCCAGCTGAAGAATCTATAGCCCAGGTGTTTTGCTAAGTAAGAATGGTGGGTGGAATTTTATTAAAGCCTTATTAAAAAAAGAGGATTATTCTAGCTAAGCAGGCTTCCCTGTGTATGGAAAGTATGCAAAAGTATCAGAAATCTTCAATTAATTAGCACGCCTGAATCTAATCTAAATTGCAAATAACAAAAGCATTGTCGTCTTCTCCAACCCTGTCAAAAAGAGGTAGGCTATACAAAATAAAGCAGATTGTTTGCTGCAGTTGCACAAGACAATGATTGTGCAATTATCACAAGGAAGCTCAAGCTTTGGGGAAGAGAAAGTCTTCCATGGTCCGGCACTCGAGGTCTGAGGATTCCAGGTTCAATCCTAATGGCTACCGTTGAAGAATTTCAGACCTGAGAAAGACTTCTTCCTGAGGTTTGGGGGAACCAGTCACAGTAGATAGCACTGGGCTGGATAAAGCAGTTAGTTTATATCAGTCTTCCCCCAGTCTTGGCACCCTGCAGATATGTGGACTTCAACTCCCAGAACCCCCTGGCCATTGCAGAGAATTCTAGAAACTGAAATCTACAAATCTGTATAGTACCAAAATTGGGGAAGGTTGGTGCAGAGGAGTCCAAGGCAGCTTCCTGTGTTCCTACCATCAGCATCCTTTCATGGAAAATATCCAAAATGCTTCCAAGAAATATCAGGGTTCCCCAGAGCAAAGCAAATTAATTATGGTGGGGATAGGGAATATGAATAACCAAGTCTGCAAGTTGATTTGCTTCTAATGCTAAACTTGGTGAAGCAAGTTGATTTGCTTCTAATGCTAAACTTGGTGATAAACTTTACTAGCTTATCAAAAATCCATTTTTTTCT